TTACGATCGACGACAAGCCTGAGTATAACGTATCGAGTAGTGTCGGGCACAGGCCCGTGTCGCTTCAGCTTTGCAGAGTACACGTTCAAGGCGGTATTTCAAGGGTTTTGTGTTGTGAGTTCTTCTCCCATATCTTACGCACTAGAGCTACTACCTTGAATATAATCAACTAATAATTTGGGATGCCCACCCGGTACGCTGTCTCCATTATTCTCCTAACGGTGTTTCACCGTTGATTGTTCCAGATCGTTCGAAGGAGGGGGCTCGCCCACCAGAAGCAACAAAAGCGCAAGCATCAAAGCTGCTCCCTTTTTGGCGAGTAAAGGTGGAATTGAGAATTTGCAGGGAGAAGGACCCGATCGTGGTTCCGTGTTTCTAGGAGACATGGTAGGCGTTTATCTATGTATCTACCATACAGATAAAAGTTTGACTTTTTATTCGCAAGCCACGCCTATGGCAAGAAGGTGACCCTTACAAATTCTCGCCCAAACGGCGAGGAGATCCATGGGAGGAAAGCATGAGACGCGTAGACCTTTATGACGACGAGATGTGTCGTGGGTGGAAGGAGGATGTCGATACATTACTGGTTTTCGTGAGCGAATTTCAGTGTTTTTGAAGAGGGAGATATCGATTTCTGATATCAAGAAAGGCCGGCTTGTTTTCTGCTGCTGTGACTGCTTTCGTCATCGAAAGCTACAAGTGGTTGCAGCCAAACAACTTCAATACGAATTCAATTTTGCAAATGCTTCAACAGATCGCGTTACAGTCGAATGTGCAACTTTCTACAAGTAATTCGAGTAGTTCGAACAACTTCTCTTCCGCCTCGGCTGTCCGTATCAATTCCGTATGGTTCCTCAGTCTCATATTCAGTTTGTCCACTGTGTTACTCGGTATTCTATGCAAACAATGGCTCCGGGAGCACAGGCGGGACACGCCTTGCTCCTCCTCAAAAGAAGCGTTGGAGCTTCGACAGCTCCGTTTCGAGAGCCTAGAACAATGGGGGATTCCTGCTTTGTTAGCTTCACTCCCTCTTATCTTACAGTTGGCATTGGTCCTCTTCTTCTATGGTATTCTGGACCTACTTTGGTCGCTTAATTTTGTCGTAGCTGCGATCTGCACTGCCGCTGCTGCCATCAGCGTCTCAATTCCTCTTTTGACCACCATTCTTCCAGCATATTATCTATTCAAATTTCCATCCTTCATCGACGAAGATGAAGTCCATATTTGTCCGTACAAATCTCCCCAAGCCTGGCTCTTCTACAAGCTGGCGACGTTTCTCCCTTGGAATGGGCACAACCCATTCCAGAGTTGGGCCTCAAGCGACTTGTTTTTACTTCGAAACCATTCACCTTTGAAACGTGTACAACTACATAGCGTTTTCCTCTTGCGGGGACTTCGTTGGATGGTCAAGACCTTCTGCGACAGCAGTATCATGGCAAACCACATGTTCCACTGCTTCCAAAACCTCCCAGTCGATGTAGCAGCTTTCGCTACAGGTAGAACGGGAGAACTCTCACGAGATGCAATCTATTACCATTTCTTCAAAATCTCAGCTTGGGATCTGGATCTTGGCAAGTTTCTCGCAGAGCTTTTCCTCCGGCAGATCAACTCTCCCGGACATAGTGGTCGTGCCGTTGGAGATGCACTCAAGTCGTTCTGGAACTTGGCGGTCCTTGATTTCGTTGGGGATGGTATGCACTATTGCGTTTGTTGGCAGCTTCACCGTGTCTTACTATTTGGAACATCTAGGACAAGAGCCGCAGCTCCACATGGAATTCTTGCAACAGATAATTGCTACAATTAGATGTTACTGTGCTGAAGACCGCATTACTCTCTTCGACATGAACCCTCTTATGATCGTATGCAGAGACCTTTGGAGACACCCAGATCCAACCGTACGACAACAAAGCGTCGCTATCGTTGATGATTTCGAAGCATGGATTGCCCGTACCAACGAAGAGCTCCAACGAGAATTCATCCCTAGCTTCGCGTCGTCCGTCACGGACACTATCTATTCAGAAGACGAACGAACGCCAAGTTCAGCTCTCATCCTTTCTGAGAAAGGACGGGCTTTCATAAAGCTTCTGGACAGTCATTTGGCTACTCAGAATATCGATTTGGACAAGTATTCTTTGCAGGAAGTGCCCATGTCGTGGCAGGAGGCCAAAGCAAAAGTTCTCAGACTTTCAGGAATGCCTCCTGATTTCTTCGAGGAAGTCAGTTTTGGCTCGCATATACCGGCCCCGAATAATGTAGAGGGTTCTCTGGTTGCTAGTGACTCTCATACAGTAGGATGATTTAGAAGTAGATTTTGACTACGCTTTCATGAATTTCATGGGCGTTAAGCTTGTGATTGGGAACGGGAATATTGCGGAGTGGGTCACTTTTTCCTGTTATGAAATATAACTCCAATTATCGAGCTAGTCTCTTCGCCCATGAAATCGTACGATTGAGGCTGCGGCCATCAGCCAGCAGCTCTGGTAAGCTGGTCTATCACAAATCCTATACAATTCGATGATTCTCAAGAAGTTCTCCGCGCCAACTTTCACCGCACCATGCTTTCCATAAACTTCATGCTCATCTTGCTGGCGGTCTCTTGGATTAGCCTATACTTGAACGATCGCGCCAAAGTGACAAAATTATCACCAAAAGACTGTCTAGCCCTTCACAACTTGAATGACCTCATCAGTTGCCTCGACGCATTCACTGTGTCTCCGAGCTTTTACGATTCCGTTTCCTATGCCGCTGCTCAGCCTACAGAGGAGGAAAACACAGCATGGACGTCTGTGGTCAGTTCCATGCTGGATGTCAACGCAAATGATTGCTCTAGTATCAAGTTACCTTCGGTGCTGGAACACTTCTACGTCGTCACTACATTTTCAGATGCTGATTCCACTAGAAGCTTCTGCATCCTTTCCGAGACTACTACAAGCATTAATCAAAACTATACGAAGGGATGGGGATCGATGATTGTGCCAGCATCAGCCAAACAGATCTCTCGTCGTTTACATCTTTCAGCACCCCATCCACAAGCCGATATCAACACGCCGCAGCAAGCTGGCGCCATCTTCGTGCTTTCAGGAGCACATAGTTTGCTCGTCTCTGGTCGGTTCCGGTCAGCATACGCGATGGAGACGGACTGCATAGTTCCTACCCAACCGAGGAAAGGTTATTTCAAGACGGATCCTACGCATGATATAGTATGTTCGACTTTAATCGTCCGACTTTCATTTTTTGTTTTACCAAGACACGTTTTGATGATTAGAACGAACCGTTCAGTATTGCCAATCGGGCGATCCGAGATTGGCAAAATGCGAACGATGGTTGTCCTTCGGAGACTTGCGCGTATGTACAGTTCCACGGAAAAGCTGCTGCTTCTTGTGCAGCAGATACGATGTTCATCTCGAGTGGCCTTGGTAACTTCCAATTCTGTCCCGCTCTTCCAACTGACGGTTGATTTTCTTTTTCCGTTGACTAGGGAACTCTAACTCGTCTCTCTCATGGTATCGAGATCCTTCTCTCGATATTCCTGCTCGCCGGCTTCGCGACGTAGCAAGGACAGTGTTCCCAACTTGGAATGTCACAATCCCTCCAGACGATCCAGATTGTGCTTTGACCGCAACGAGCAATGTTTTCGGTCGTTTGATCAACGGCGTTCCGGAAAGCAACGTCTGTATGACCGAGGCGAATACCTTGACGGCTACGGGTGAATTCATTCATATTGAGCAGGCGATCGTGTCTAGACAGAGCAATGTGTATGACCAGTGGGGTGAAGTGTTCAAGCGAACTTTTCGGACTAGTTGTACGGAAGGAACGGTGGAGGATAGCGAAACTGGTATTTGCAAGGAATCATGATGACAAGGAGGAATACAAACAGCAGAAGTTATATACTCTGCATATAGTTTACCATCAAGAATGAAGCAGTACATACAGTCAATCCTCCATTCGCCCTTTCAGAGGCGTTATATTAAACGTCTCCCAGAACTCTCTCGAATCCAACGCACGCCCGAGAATCTCGCTACTTCGGGGAAGTGCCCGTACACCAGTTTCACGCATGAGTTCACGAACCCAAACTGCCTGTGGTCCACGGTCTTCAGAATCGGTACTATCCAATGGACCAGAGCCCCAGGCAGATGCAAGGTCCCACCAATCGTAGACGCGTCCATCCGTCAAGAGCCATCGCTGGCCGACCGCTCTGGAAAAGTCATTGTGAACTGCGACGATCGCTCGAGCAACGTCCAAGCCATGTATCATATGTATACTTCCCTAAAAATGGCCATGAGCTATGTCGACTTTCAGAAATTCAACAATTGTAGGACGTACTTTGTTCCTGAGAACTTCTTTCGTTGGCGCCACTTTTCCAACCCATCTCCTCATCGTTCTGTCTTCTCCATAAAGGCCAGCAAGGTCCAAGACAGTCGTAGGCGTGACAGGAGACAAGGCCAACAACTCGTCTTCGGCATTTGAACGTTCGTTGGGGTTATACAGACTGTGTCTGTCGTACCATTTGTTTTCCGCTGGCGTAATGACTTTCAGTGCTGGGTCTTTGTGTTGGCGAGAACCTTGCTCCTACGTCCGAGTTGTAAGCACTGACAAAGTTGAGAGAACATCACCCACACCCCAGATACTCGTAGCACCAAGTTGGATGAACGCGGGATTCAAGTCCTTCTCTGTACGAGTATTCTTATATAGCTGGACGAGTCTTTGGGAGCCTCCCAGAGCCGTTATAGGAAAGGTGATCAGTACAGTTTTCGCATCTGGGAGCACTTTGAAAGGTTCTGAGTCGTCGGAGTCCTGATCAAAGAGGAATTTGATGGTGTTGTCAATTCCGGAGCGCGTTGTCGCTGCGAAGGAGATGCGACGCGTACGGCAAACAGGAAGTAAAAAGCTTGAAGTCCATCCAGCGCCGAGAATCAAGAGATCTAGAGGCATCAAGCAACTGTGAGAGTGCAGGATAAGGGCTATGGAGGTGCAGGGCAAAACAATATTAAAATCAAGCATTCCAATGCGGGGAATCGAACCCCGGGCTGCTGTGTTACGTAGACAATGTCATGAAAGACAGCAATGTTGACCACTACACCACATTGGATAATTATGGTAGATGAGTAATGGTACATAGTACAAGGTGTGAGAAATATGTACATGTGGGTAGTGTACTCACGAGGAAACATTGTGAGTGATAATAAGGAGAACTTTCAGATCTGGAAATATCTGGGAAAAAGTTAGAACTGCTTAACGCTTCCTGAGAATCGATAAATGAAGAAATGACATCCTGCAAGGTGCGAGCCCTGCGGGCGGTGTAACATCATTTCCGTTCGAGTTCATCAATATACTTGTATGCTGTAATGAGATACTTAGTAATCGTAGAATCCTTTACCACTCTTCTTTCCCAGCCACCCTGCGTCAACCATACGCCCTAGCAGGATACTAGGACGATACTTTGAGTCATGTGTACCTTCATAAAGTGTCTCTTGAATGGCAAGACAGGTGTCAAGGCCGATGCTGCATGATGTTAATGAAGTATGAGATTGTCGAAAGGACGTAGAATACTCACAAGTCAGCTTTTCATGTTACAACAAAAGCATGAGTATAAGTCATTGTCTCGGTTGAACAAATATCAGACCTAGCTGTAACGGTCCCATGGGATGGCCCATACCCAGTCGGAGAGTTTTATCAATGTCATCTCTTGTTGCAGTTCCCTATGGTAGAACGCAACATGTGAACGGGATGCCTATCTCATGACATTGAGGGCTGAATGCACGCCATGAACTTACCGATTCTAAGCACATTATAGCCTATAGGACTTGTTTTAGATGGATGAACATCGAGGAGAAAAAATGACGCCCACCTCATTGAGAAATGGCATAAGTAATGCGTTTGAAACGAATCCAGGGACGTCCTTCGAAGTTGATACCTCTGTATTCCCACTACATTAGTGCCCGACGAACCACAGTAAAATAGCCCGTGATGACCTTTTCCACAAGCAATCGCGAATGCCTTGGCTTGTTCAAGTGTAGCTTCTGACGTCTGCAGTCCCGGTATTACTTCACATAGTTTCTTAAGTCTCGTTAAGGCCCTTGACGTCTTGTCAAAAGTGGTCGCTCACCATCACTGGTACCGGATTGAAAAAATGCACACCGACCACTCGACCTGCACAGCTCTTTCCTTCTTCGCTTGCCCTGCTAACACTAGTCACTAGTCCATCCACCGCAGCTCCAGCTAACTTTGTAATTGAGATGCTACTCGTGTTACTCGCCAATACCGCATCCTTTGATAAGTTGCGCGCTAACGCACGGAATATTCCCTCTTTAATCGACAACCTTTCCGAAGCAGCTTCAACAACCATATCCGTCCCACGCTCGCCCAACTCTCGCGCCCAGTTGGTTTCATCATTCGAACTTGCCGACGCAGAGGAGGATGCGATGGCGGTAATCCTTGCCTTAGCAGCTTTCGCGTCGTTCTCGCTAATCTTACCCTTTGACACGTCTTTGGCGAGGAGTTTGTCCATGAACCCAAGACCTCTGGTGATTTGTGATGGATCATGGTCATAAAGGAGGACAACAGGGATCTTGGCGCGCAAGGAGGCGACTAAGGCGATACCGATTCCCATTTGGCCTGCGCCAATGACGGATAAAGTACGAGGGAGAGCCATGGCTAAAAAAGTGACTATGAAGATGAAGGTTCAAGGACTTCTGCACAAGAGATTCACGTGAAATTGTCGTTGCCGCTTCCGCGATTGATTATTGCCGAACCTTTAGGTTTGGCTTCTGTATTCATTTGTCCATTGATGATTCTTGGAGATCTTGTAACTCTGTTGGCACTCCCTTGTCGACGGTAATTGATCTCAAGAGCTTGGTTTCTCAAAATACTGTTTGGCAACCTTAATATGAATAGGACGCTATCATGCCTCAATCTTGGACAGCAACAAATGAGCTCTCGTCAAGTTTGATGCCACAAAGGGGTCTAACACTATACTTCTGTGAATCAATATGACCAACTTGAGTAGTTTCAGCTACGAGCTTCGAGGATTAGGATACGAACAAACCAAGTTACAACAGACAATAGAAAGACTGCCATCAGGATTGTGCCCCCCACAGCCATTGGAGCTCATTGGAGCTCACTGGCAGTACAGACGTGAACCCCGATCCGAAAAATTGAACAATAGGGATACAACTATGTATGCATGAGGTATTTAATCCATATGGCTTTCCCTGGGCTTCCACATGCTCTTTGAGCTGTTATCGCTTCCACTCCAATCATTCTATTCCTTCTGAATGGTACTGCAGATGAATAGGCATTCACTACTCTCTTGCATTACTCTAGGATAATGGGGTTTTAGTGTTTTATAATCAACTTTTACACACTTTGCCTGACTAGTAATGAGCATCTGTTTGATTCATCATTAACCAGGAGCTGGACATTATGGCTATCACACAATGTACAGGTACAGGGGCTATGTAGAGTTATTAACCAGGCTCATCAGCGGACTTGGATCAGCCGCTGCGCTATAAAAATTCTGGGTATGTGCTCACATTTCACCCCCCCCCCCCCCCAACCCAACGCGTTTACTAAGTTTCAACGCTGGTCCGGTAAGTCAAGCCTGTTAAGCCTGTCCTTTAACTCACGGCTTCATTACCCTGATTAGTATTGTACGTGAATTTGCTGGTCAAATTCTTCGAAATTTTGTTTGTTGCGATCTTCCCGCACCTGATATGACCCTTTGTTGCAATAGCTATATTGATTTGATGTACCGATCACGTCAACGTATATAAGGCATCTTGGCCTGTGCCTGGCAGTTTGGTGAAGCCCGATGCGCGTACTGACTGCCGGGGCATCCGGTAGGTTCAGGTGGGCTTGGGGGTCTCTGAGTTAGCTTTCCACATACTGGACTGACCATGTTCACCAGTTATATTACAACATTCTAAGGTACATCATTAGCTATGTTCAATATAGTATCTGTCAGATCATCTGCAGCAGCATCTTCATCCTCTCCCTCACTTTCATCGCTATCAGAATCATCTGGCCTCTGCTCTGCTGCTTGTGTGACATCACACTGTCTGCGCACACCTAGCCCTGGGTGAAAGAAATGTAAGTTCAACGGGGAGAAGCCCCTCAGCCTCTGGATAGCCCTCAATCTCCTGCGATGAACTTGATTGAAGCGTTGCCTCTCCATCCCATGTTGCCACACCTGGTATGCTAGCGCTTCATTCACATCTTGTAAATTCCTCACCACCTCTGCAAAGTACCCTTCTTCCTCTTTCATATAAGTAACCAAACGCTTGATCTCAATGTGAAGTCGGTCTAGCTCCTCCTTGTTACGAACTGTTACGAACTGACTCTTTTTCAATTTCTTTTTGTCTATCTTATTTACTTTTATCTTTTCCTTTTCTTTTATTTACATACATGTGACAACCTTGACATTCTCGCAATGTCAACGCATTTCTCTCATGTCTGTCAAACTGTTGACAGACTGTCATTCCCGCGCTGTCAACACAACTCTCTCATGTCTGTCAGATTATTGACAGATTGACAGTGTGAGAATTCTCTCATGTCTGTCAACCTTTGACAGATCGTTGTATAGCCTCACAGTTATGACGTGAGATAGTTCCCATGGATTCATTTCAGAATATGTATATAAGATAGGGCATTCCTTAGAGTAGTCTCTATCTCTGATCTCGTCTATCCTCCTCTGTAGCTAGACAAGTATCTGAGGGCATACTCCTCCTGCACTATCCATTATCTTTTGATCTATTCTCTCTGTGTGACGCCTGGCTTAGTATAAAAGCTATCGAGTCGCTGACAGAAGATCAGAGATCCTTATCGACCCACCCGTCACGACCCAAATCGTCGACATTTGGTTGGACATTGGACCCCGCTGCGTTATTAAATTTACTCTTTTTCATTTCCTTACTCACCTTCCCACCTCACCTCGTTTCCTCTCCCATCCACTCCCTATTCCCATAGCTCGTCTGTGTTAAGGCCAGCGTTGGCGTAAACACTTTGTTAATACATACCTACATCGAGACACTGTAGTACGGCTCAACCCGTGCTGAGAGGAAAATACTCTCTCTAGTGTGCCTGACTCCTACCAAGGAGTGTAAATCAGGGCTAGCAACAGAACATCGAGTTTCTTCCTCGGAAGATTCGATAGTAGGGACGTTGGAACGCAAAGTTTTCACGCAGACGACTCGAAAGACAACGTTGCGCGAGGAGCGAACGTAGACAGTCTTCTGGATTAACACATAACTCGACACGAGCCTCTACCTCTAAGCACCTCACCCTCCTATCCTGGCGTTCTCGTCAAGACCTCAGGATTTTTCACTCCCATACCCATCTCGCTCTCCCTCTCCCGCATCACCGGATTCAACCATCCATTTAGGATCCCCCACGCCCACTCCATCCTTCACCACTGAACTCGGCTCAGAAATGTCTGACCCATCCAACCAATCCATGCATGCCAACACATCCGCTACTACCGCCGCTACTCCCGCCACCTCCAACACCTCATTCTCCCGAAAAACCATCGTTAAAGAACCCGACGTATTTACAGGAGATACCTCCAAGTTCCGAGCATGGCTCCGAACACTCCTTGCGTACATCCATGACCTGCGAAGGACACAGCAGGTCAATAACGATAACGAATCCATCAATGTAGCAATGTCCTACATTCGAGGAGGCAGAGCTGATGACTGGGCGGAAGTATACACCAGTGATCACCAGGATGAAGTCGCTGGTGATTGGAACGTAGACTTCGCAGAATTCCTAGAAGAACTAAAGAGCAGTTTTTCTAACGTCTCCCAGAAGAAGGAGGCAATGGATAAACTGAATCGCATTCAGCAAGGTCGTATGAAGGCCGATGACTTTTTCAAGGAGTTTGAACTCCTGCTAAAGGAAGCGGGGTATGACAAGAAGAGCGAATATGTTCTTCAGTTGGCTGAAAGAGCAGTCAGCCTCAACATCATGAGCGATCTAGTCCGAACGAGGACAGAGGAGTTTGACAGCTACGACGAGTTAAAGAAACTCGTCACCGCCAACGATCTAATCCGCCGCCGCTACGATGAACAGAAGCGCGGATACAACAACATGAGC